TTCAGATCGTATAAATCTTTCGCCTTTTACTAAAGATTTCCGTGGAGTGGAGCACTCAGAGTTGTAATGAATTTTTTGTGGCCCTGTTTTTACAGGGCTGTATTTAAAACGGCAAAGTAAGAGTGAGTGTGTTGTTTTATCCTTCACGGTCTTCCCAACGTTGTAGCAGGAGACTGCTATTTTTGTGGGGCAAAAATTTAAGCTGCCTGCTTAATGCTGCCTCTTTTATTATTGGCCCCATTTTTAACTAACTTTTTGTGTGAATGTTGTTGTCTTGGAAGAGGGCATGCTCGCTTTTGCCTCGGTCTTAATTTTGTGGGTGTCTGCATTGCTGCCTGTTTTCGCAAGGCTGTTTTTGTTGGTTGCCAACACAGATTTGATATCTCCATTAATTTTCATATAAATCCTCTGTAACGCTCTCGTTCTTTACCGGGAAAGGTTCTCCCAATCTCCCCTTCAGAATCATCTATCTAGTCTCTGAAAAGGTGAGTGAAAGAAGGAATATTGATGTCAGAAATGCGATTGAGGAAGGTGGTTTTGTTGCTTCCCAATTCGAGGTCCCTTGAGGGTCACTCTGGGAAACTATTGGCAAACTCAAAGCTGTGAGAACGTTGTAAGGGAAAGCCGAGTTGTGTTCTGCTGTATGGGCCTTATTGCTCAGTATCTGCTGGAGGTACCTTGTGCTAGTCCGTGAGGAAAGGAGAATTGCAAATAAATCTATTATCTTCCATAGTTTTCATGTTTCAATTCTGCTGCTTTAACAGAAAATTTACACCGGGCTGCTAATCCCACTCGCTCACTGGGGGACATTATCCCCACTCCCTCACCAGGCTGCTATCCCCAAGCTGTCACCAGGCCACTATACATGGTCTCTCACAAGGCTGCTACCCCCATTCCCTCAGCAGGCCGCTATCCCCACTCCCTCAGCAGGCCGCTATCCCCACTCCCTCACTGGGCCGCTATCCCCCTCCCTCAGCAGGCCGCTATCCCCACTCTCTCACTAAGCTGCTATCCCTGCGCTCTCACCGGGCCGTTAATCTCACTCCCACAGCAGGCAGTTATCCCCGCTCCCTCACCGGGCCGCTATCCCCACTCCCTCAACGGGCCGCTATCCCCACTCCCTCACCAGGCTGCTGTACCCACGCTCTCACCAGGCCACTATACATGGTCTCTCACAAGGCTGCTATCCCCATTCCCTCAGCAGGCCGCTATCCCCACTCCATCACCGGGCTGCTATCCCCATTTCCTCAACAGACCACTATCCCCACTACCTCACCGGCCAGCTATCCCCACTCTCTTACCAGGCTGCTATCCCTGCGCTCTCACCGGGCCGTTAATCCCACTCCCACAGCAGGCAATTATCTCCACTCTCTCACCAGGCCATTAATCCCACTCGCACTGCAGGCAGTTATCCCCACTCCCTCACCGGGCCGTTAATCCCACTCCCACTGCAGGCAGTTATCCCCACTCCCTCACCGGGCCGTTAATCCCACTCCCACTGCAGGCAGTTATCCCCACTCCCTCACCTGGCCGCTATCCCCGCTCCCTCACCAGCCTGCTATCGCCACTCCCTCACTGGGCCGCTATCCCCACTCCCTCCCTGGGCTGCTATCCCCACTCCCTCACCAGGATGCTATCCCCGTGCTCTCACCGGGCCGTTAATTCCATTCCCTCAGCAGGCCGCTATCCCCACTCCTCACCGAGCTGCTATCCCCACTCCCTCACCGGGCCGCTATCCCCACTCCCTCAGCAGACCAGTATCCCCACTCCCTCACCGTGCCGCTATCCCCACTCCCTCACCGGGCCGCTATCCCCCCTCCCTCACCAGGATGCTGTCTGTGTCACTGTCCTCGAAAGCTCTGCACACACCTGTTCCCTTAGTCACCGCTGCAAACGTCAAAGCAGCCTTCTTGAGAGTGAATCCATGGAAAGCAACTGGCCGGATTGGAGTCCCCAGACCCGCAATCAAACCCTGTGTGGACCAGCAGTGGGATTTTTGCTGATATCTTTAACCTCTCCTTTCTGCAATTCAAAGCCCCCACCTGCTTCATCTTGGTGCCAACGAAAACACATGCAAATTGCCTCAATGGCTACTGCTCGGTGGCTCTGATCTCCATAATTATGAAATGCTTTGAGAAGTTAGTCATGTCTCACGTCAACTGTAGCCTCCCCACCTCGATCCTTTGCCACATGTGTACGGGCGGAACAGGTCCATGTCAGACACAATTTCCCTCACCCTACACTCCCCCCTGGAGCATCTGTATAATAAGGATACCTACATCAGGCTTCTACTTACTGAATACAGCTCCGCATTCAACACTATAATCCAAACAAAACCACTCTGCAAACTCTGCAACCTGGGTCTCTGCTCCACCCTCTGCAACTGGATCCTCGAAGCACGGAGGGTGTCACACCGCTATATACATCAAAGGAGCTGAGGTGGAGATGGTCAAGAGAATCAAGTTCCGAGGAGTGACGATCATCGACATATTGTCCTGGGCCACTCACGTTGGTGCGACAGGCAAAAAGACGCAACAATGCCTCTTCTTCCTCAGTACGCTGGGAAAAATCGGCATGTCCATAAGGACTCTCATTAACCTTTGCAGATGCACCATAGAAAGCATTCTGTCTGGATGCCTTGGCACAGCAACTATTCTGCCCAGGACCATTAAAAACTACAGAAAGTTGTGAACACAGCCCAGACAATCACACAAGCCAACCTTTCATCCATTGACTCCATCTACACTTCTCATTGCCATGGAAAGGCAGCCAAAATCATCAAAGGTGATTCCCACCCCAGTTATAATCACTTCCAACCTCCTCCATCAGGCAGAAGATATAAAAGCTTAAACACATGTACCAAATGGTTCAAGAACAGCTTCATCCGCACTGTTATTAGACTTCAGACTGGACCTCCCAAATTTCAAATCAAATGCTGATTTTTGCTGCTGAGACGAGAAAAAATGTGCTGGAGAAACTCAGCATGTCTGGCAGTACATGGAGAGCAAGAAACTGAGTTAATGTTTCAAATCTGATGACCCCTCATCACAACCATCTTAGAGACAAGCTGTTTGCCTTCAGGCAGCTCTGAACGAAGGGGATCATTAAGACTCATTCTACTCAATTTAAAATGAGCACTAACGCTTTTACAGTTAGTTAGTTGTCTCACAATGGCCATTCAAAGACTGGAGGTGAAGCATGACTTTCCAAGCTATGAGTACCTGAAATAGCTCTCTTTCTCACA